GTAGTAAGCACACAAACCTTTCTACTATGGTACAACTCTTGAATTTGAAGTCTAAGTTTAATATGCCTACAGCATGTTATGATCGTATGTTGTCTATCTTTAAAGAAATTATGCCAAAAGGTGACCGGTTAAAAGCAACGTTCTATAAAATAAAGAAAATGTTATCCGGTTTTGGCCTGGTGTTATGAAGATCCACACTTGTGTGAATGATTGCATGTTGTACTACAAAGAAACCAAGAGCATGACTTAGTATCCTGCGTGTTTTAGTACACAATACAAAGAGAAGATGTCTTGATCTGGTAATGTATGCTTTCGTTTATGTACGGATGGGTTCAACCCCTTTAGCATGTCAAATGTGCAATATACATGTTGGCCAGTAATCATTACTGTGTAAAATCTTCCGCCATGGACAAGATAACTTTTTTTTTAGTATGGTTATCCCAGGACTGAAGAGTCCATGGAAAAAGCTTGATGTTTATTTGTGTCCTCTCATTGATGAACTAAAAATACTTTGGAATGAAGGTGTTGAAATATATGACATACAAACGAAGCAGAATTTTCAGTTGAAAGCTGCATTAATGTCGACTACTAGTGATTTTTCGAGATATAGCATGTTATCTGGATGGAGTACACACGGTCTAAAGTCTTGTCCATATTGTATGGGTCAAACTAAATCTTTCAGGCTTAAAAATGGAGGAAAAATATCTTTTTTTTTTTTATTGTTGCCTGCAAGGCCTACCACCCAACCATGCATTTAGAAAATAAAGAGACGAGTTTTACAAAGGTAGAGTTGAGAAGAATATGGCACAACATGAGCTAACCGATGAAGAGTTGCGAAGTATAGTAGAGAACCTTCCACACATTACAAGTGGCAGAGCTAATAAGAGAAAAGAAATCGAAGGTTTTGGTCATAGCCATAACTGGGTAAAGAGAAGCATTTTCTAGGAGTTGCCTTACTGGGATAAAAATCTCATAAGGCACAATTTAGACATGATGCATATTGAAAAGAATGTATTCGAAAATAGATTCAACACAATTATGGATATAAAAG